GTCCATCATCAGTCTTTTCAGACTTTATCTCTCAGGTATGTGATGTTTTGTCCCTTACACCTGTTTCCTATGACCCTCGACCTTTCGTCTTACATGAAACAACTTCCTGACCCTATTTAGTCTTTCCCTCATCCTCCGATATTAGGGTTCATGCAGACTGATTTACCTCTCAGCTGGGAGGGGGCATTAGTGTGCCTTGTCCCCCATGGACCTTGGATCAGTCTGCCCTTGCTTATCATCAGGTGGACTTTCCCTTTCTCGACCAACAGTTGTTAGGGTCGGTTCTACCTGTTTGGGGGGCCAACCCAGATTACACTGTCCAACTTACCCAAGCTCAATCTATTTGCTTTTGTCACACCCTTACAACCCTGTTAAGGTACCTTTCTTCCATTCACCTTCTGTCAGAGGCTCTTTACAGGAACCCTGAGGGGTTTTCTGCTGAAATCCTCTCCATTCTTACTTCTATGTTGGCTCATCTGTCGTCCTCAGCTCTCCCTCCCTCTTCAAACGTGGTTTGTTTCTTGTTGGGACCTCTTGAGCTGTGATGCAGATTTAGTGTGGACTCATCTCCAAGCTCCTTATCTGAGGGATCTCCACATGGCACCATTTTTGCAGCATTATGTGTTTGACTCAGTTCCTGAGTCTTTGGAGTCATGGATGGCCATAGCCCATCAACATTCTATTCTTACTAACTTGGTAGCTTGTTTGTCACAGTCAGGGCCGAATGTGGCACTGATTCCTATCCTCTGACCTTCCCCTTCCCAACCTCTTCCTGTGTCACTCTCCCATGGTGCCATGATTCAATGATTTACTCGACAATGCACGATTTGCCAACAGCAGTACCAGTGACTATGTGGTCAGTGGGGCTCATCTCTTGAATTTCATTTATCTGTGGGTACCTTTTCTTGCTCCACCAGGTTCACAGGGGTTTTACTTCCACCTGTTTGTGGTTCCCAAGAAGACTGGGGACTGGTGTGCTGTCATCAGTTTATTCCTTCTCAATCAGTATGTTCACACTCCTCACTTTACCATGGAGACGAACCTTTCTCTTTGGTGGGAATTTTCTCCTACCTACACATTCTTGTGGTGGAGAATTCCCATCCATATCTTTGGTTTGTTCATCGTGGGTTGTGTACCAGTTTCACATCTTACCTTTCAGCCTTGCCTCAGCACCATACGTGTTTTGTTATATGGTCTGCTCCTTTGCTCAACATATTCATGCCATGAGGTTGTGCTTCCATGTTTATATGGACAACTGGCTCCTTCTTGCTATTTCCAAACAGGAATCAGCCTGTCACACTCATCAGTTCCTGGCCTAAGCTGCACTGGTGGGCTGGTTGGTCAAATTGGAGAAGTCTTTCTTTTGACCTACCCAATACCTTATCCATTTGGGTGTTTTCTTCAACACCCAAGTCAATCGGGCACAATCTTCTCCTCTCTGGCTCTATTCTTTGGAACGGGCCATTTGGAAAGCCCTTTCTATCTCTTTTGGGAATGTGGTCCTCCATGACTCCTCTCATACCCCTTGGCAGGGCCCATATGCAGTTTCTTCAGTGGGTCCTTCAGGATCAATGGAACCTCACCCAGGACCCCTTGGATACTTCTATATCTCTTTCCTCATCCTTTGTAGAAGATACCCATTGGTGGTTGAATAGGGCCCACACATCAGCGGGGGTCCCACTTCCTCCTCAGCAGCCAGATTTACATCTGTTCACGGATGCATCCTTTCAGGGCTTGGGTGCCTGGGTGGATCACCAGGAGGTTTTGGGTCATTGGTCTGTGGAGGAGAGTTTTCTTGACATCAATGTTCCCAAACTCTGGGCTGTTCATTGGGCTTTGGGTCAATTTCTTTATCTTGCCAGCTGTTGGCTGGTTATGATCCATTTCGTCAATTCTACTGTGGTGGCTTATATCAGTCACCAAGGTGGCACCAGGTCCAGATCCCTATGTTTTTACACTATGGATCTTCTTTACTGGGCCCACACACACATCACACTCATTTGATGGCGTGTCATGCACTTGGTGCTTTCAATCTTGTAACTGATTATCTTCCCCAACCGGAGTGGTCTCTGCATCCTGCCATTTTTCGGTGGCTCTGTCTGCATCTGGGTACACCCCATATTGATGCCTTTTCCACCACCCTCAATCACAGTTACCTCAGTTTTGGTTCCTGATCCCCCATTCTCGAGCCTTAGCTGTCGACGCCTTCAGCCAGGATTGATCTTATCTGTTCCTTTATGTTTACCCTCCCACCTGTTTGCTTCATCAGATGGTCTCTCTCATCCATGCCACTCCATGCATGGTCCTCCTGATTGCTCCTTACTGGCCTGCTTAACCTAGGTTTCCTCATTTGCTTCAACCTAGGTTTCCTCATTTGCTTCAACTGCAGGTGTTCCATCCCTTTCTGTCCCTACCTGCTCCCTCAACCCCAGTAACCAGTACTCCATTCAGTGCCATCCCTCCTCCATCTTCACACCTGGCTTTTGTCAAGTCCTTGGTAAAGAGTTTCGGTTTTTCTTGCAGAGTAGCTTCACATTTAGCCTGTTCCATTTGCCCTTCTTCTTTAGCCATATATCAATGCAAATGGAGCATTTGTCACTCCTGGGCATTGACTCAGGGTCTCAGGCTTCTCACACAATGGTTCCCTGTATCTCTGAGTTTCTCACATGGTTCTTTGAGAGGGGTTCTTCTGTGTCCTTGATTTCGGGGTTTCAGGCCACATTCCGTTTTTTCTGCTTCCTCAGGGTTTTTACTTCCCCTGTTCTTTCCATGTTAATCCATTCCTTCTGGTTCCATCAGCAACTGAGGTATCCATCACTCATGGACTGTGACATTAATGTGGTCCTTCATGCCCTCACTATACCTCCTGTCGAACCTCTGTCTATGTGTTTCCTGTTGCTCCTCTCTTTGAAGGCAGATTTTCTCCTTCTTCTGGCCTGTGAGCATCACAGATCGGATATTCTCACCCTTTACATTACCAGGACCTTGTACCACTCCTCCTACCTTATCCTTTAACCGGACCATGCTTTCCTTCCCAAGACCTCTGCAGCTCAAGAAGGTCAATCCTCTTTTTCCCTTATCAGCCTATCCTCTGTATCTCTTCTCTACCCTTGTCCTTATCTGGATAGACTCCTCTGTCCTGTCCGTGCCCTCTATTATTATATTGCTTGCTTAACTTCCTTCTGGTATTCTCATTCCTGTCTTTTTATCCCTTAGCAATCTTCCTCTTCTTGTGATCTTTCCCCAGTTACCCTGACCAATTGGGTTTGGTGTTTGATCCAGTTGGCCTGTTCATCCTTGTCTCTTTCCCAGCATGATCACTTTCACCTTTCCTCACATCAAATCCATTGTTGGCCATTGGAAGAGATTCTAAGATTGGACATGTGGACGACTCTGCACACATTCATCTCCCACTACCTACACCTCATTGTTGTTTCTGCTTTCTTTGGGATATTGCATGCTGCCTGTGGCTATTCTACAGATTTCGGAATGGCTGTGACATAAGGTAAATCCTCACTAATGCTTTCTTTTCTTTCAGAGGCCCCTGCTTCAGCTTCACTTTAGATCCCGCTCTGTGGTGTGTGGTGCCTGACCAGGTATTCTGTTTCTACTTGGAATGGGTTCCACTTAGATGACTATAACTATTCGCAGGCATCCTACTATCAAATGCACACTGTAAGCCATGTTGATTCGTATACATTTTCCATGGTTATGTACATTCACCCTTGAGATGGGGGTGTTTCACAAGATCACTATAGTGTAAATTCCTTGTGATAAATGCATATAATATGCTCATCCCGGACCGTACCACCCATGAATGGCATGGATAGAACAGAAGGGGATTACTGCCCATCCTTGCCATACCTAGATTAATAAATTGGTGTGGTCTGCTTTTCAAAATAGGGTTTTGTGATCACCCATTGCACTGTTTCAGGTGTTGCAGTCCCTCTGAACTCTCCACTGCACTTCACCTCCCCTTCTTTCAATGGAGTACGGGAGTCCTTACCACTTACCAGTTCCAAGCCGCTGGGGTGGTTGACCATGGAGGAAACCTATTGGATGGCTATAACCATTCATTTCAGAGTAGGGTGGTGGTGCTCTGTCGGAGTAGAGGGAGTTACAAGATCCTCCAGATGAGTAATTATTTCCTGGAGTTGAGATGCCCAAATGCAGTTCACCCCTCCAATTGGGTGCCCTCCTCTTACCCTCACATGGATGTTGGTACCCAGCAAGAAAGGTTTAGGAGATCAAGTGAACCAGTCATGTAAGTCCTCACACAGGTTTTAGGTTGTCCATCTTCCCCTCTCAACTTGTCTTCTGTGTTGTGGGTCACAGAAGGTTTATGTGGCCTGTTTCTGCTTCTGTCCTGGATTTTCCCTCATTGGGTGAGGAAGTTGTTACTGATTTGGGGTTGTTTTGGGCTAGTTTTACGGCTGCAGGGGTTAAGTGCATGTGATGGACTTCCCTCAGATTCTGGATGACACATTCTGGATCCCTGGCATTAGGCTACCCTGTGAGTTCCTGGGGTTGAATGTTAGGTTCCCTCTTGACTCTGGAACTTGAGGTGAAAATGGTATGATCCTCGTCCTACCCTTGTGAGGATAACGGTAGCAAGCAAGTGAGGTTTTGGTTATAGTTCACTTACCGAGTATGGTCCGTTGTGTCCTAGCCACTCTACACTTGACCACTTTCCATTTTTGGATTGAGTGATTCTGATTTCTGTTTAAGATCACATTGCTAAACTATCCTCTCCCACATGAATGTGCTGTGCTCCCTTTAATTTTCTGCTATGTCTGATCCTCCTGATCATGTCAATGTTCCTGGCGAGGAAAGAGATACCTGGCTCAGATATGGTACAGTACCCCTCCTCAGATCACCTGATCTGTTCCTTTTATTTCTGGGGTGTCCTCTGAATGCTTCCGGGGATACACTTGTGCTTCCCTCGCACTGGTCCCTCCTCCATTTCAACGTGGGATTCAAGCTAATCTTGTGAGTGAAAAGAGAGTACCTTATCGGAAGTTATAATTTTTCTAAATGAAAATGTATTTCCGATAGGTACTTCACTCATACTTCCCACCTGTCCTCCCCACAATCTTCTGGTGCTCATGTCATCTGCGAAACTTCGAAGTGATAATTTGGTTGTGGCTCATAGAGGGAGTTACATAAGTCACGTGATAGTAGTGCTCTCCTATTGGTGGAGAGGTGACACATGCTGATTTGCATAACAGAGGATGAAGGCTTGTGGTATGCATTTCTGAAAATGTTTGCATATAGAGGACAATACAAAACGAGAAGAGCTAATATTGTGAGTAGAGTGAAGTACCTATCGGAAATACATTTTCATTTAGGAAAATTATAACTTTGGGATAAATATACCTAGAAATTTATATCATTAATATTGTAATAAATTGTGTCATTAGGTTGTATTAGCCATAAGTTATTCATTATTAAGAGAAAATGTGTTTTTGTAGACATATTTTATTAGTAGAGACTATTCATTAAACTGCTTGTTGCTAGCTAATTGCCTGTAACTAAAATGTTTAATATAATTTAAGTTATAGCTTCATCTGGTGGATACTGATGTCTAATTAGAAACAAAAGCACCACAGCAACAGTTGCAAACATATTCAGGCAGTGAACATTTTGGATACATCGGAAATCTTTCCTATGTTATTTCAGTTTCTCTCTTTAAGATATATTATATTTTTATGCTTAATACTAAGTTCAACAACTAACAATAACATTTCGGTTACTCTACAGGTCGTCATAATCATTAACGGTAATAAAAATACAATGTTTGTATACTACAGATTGGTAACAGGGTATAAATATTATCTGATATTATAATACTGATTGTTTAAACTCTTTTCAGTTATGCTATATCCTGAACACTAGTGAGCATTGCTGATCTCTTGAGCTATGGAACATCTGTTTTTTACTTGTGGATAATACAGAGTAAAACATATTTATAAAGAATTATTCAGAAGAATAATCCATTCCGCACATTTTATGATTATTATGCTTGTTGTATATTATCAGGTCAAGAGGAACATTGTTGGAGAGATGTAGGAGTTATTGGTTATGACAAAGTGAGAAAACTCTACATTGTTAGAAGGGCTTTTGATCTAGAAGATAGAAGAGAATCATCACTGTTTGCAAAATCTTCTAGAAGTAGGTTCTGCGATTAACTAGAATTTTTACTTTGATTAATAGTAATTATACATCTTTATTTACAGATAAGTGTATAACTGCAAAGTGTTTCAAAAGATTTTGTGTGGATTTGTGAGGTTTTTAGTATTTTGTGTGTGTAATATTTTAATAGACATGTTAATTTGTTCTGATAGTTTATTTTTAGTCTCTTTCTTTGTAATTTGCCTTTTTCCATCTAGCTAGTTTTAGAAAAAATATTTTAGCTGTTGGAGGTAATAATTCATTTATGATACAGTATCTATTTTCATAATTAAATACACTAGAATCAAAAATTGTTATAAAGGTCCTGTGAACATTTTTAGCAGTTAACAAAAATGTTAAGTTTTTCATTTTGCATAGTACATTATATTAGTGTGTGTGTGTGTGTACATATATATATATATATTATGTACAATATTTAGTGAATGTTCTGCAGTGGAAATAAATTTTCTACACTTATTTTAGCAGTTTTTAAATAAATTTTGACATATTTATGAAGTGCCTAGTACGAAAACAAAAAAGAACTCTCTTAAAGGATCATTATCATAGTATTTTGAGACATAAATTGAGGGTACACATTTTTGACTGAACAAAATTTCATTTCTTTTGTTAAATGATGTAAGTTTTTATATAGTTCTACCAATTAATCACTAGAATCTTTTATATTTTATATTTACATGTTTAAATGTAATGGTTCCAAAATGATACCTCACTTCTGTATATAGAATAGCTTGCTTCCTTCACACATCTGCTTACAAGATTTGCATGCCAATAGCCTTGAGCATCCTCCTACCTAACAAAACATTTAATGTGAACTCTGCTAGTGCATGATGACATCATCATGCAGTGACTGCCTTCCACCACTAGGATGGCAACACAACTCCTTGCAAATCACCCCCCTTAAGCACTTGCACTCAAATTAACTTCATTCTTTTCTTTGGCATTGTCTAGAATGGATGTGTTCCAAGATTGTTAATTAATTACCTGAGATTTGTAGTAGCTTACAACTGAGTTAATTTTTTTTTCAAGTTTACCTGGTTTAGTGTTTTTGTCTAACAAATCAATTATGGCTTCTTTACTTTCACTTAATAAAAAAAGCATTTGGTGATTACCTGTCATTATGACTTCTCAAGTGACGGTAACTTCCACTTTGTCTCATGATAGTGACAATGCATCTAATAAGGGACCTGTGTCTACTGGAGACTTGTTGTTGTGACAGCCATTGTTCAATATGTTGTGAGTTTCTTCATGCATACTGGGCATCCTCCTCCCATCCAGTTTGAACATGACCAGGATGATGATTATTTGACCAGCTATTTCCCCCACTAGGGTGTGGTTTAGGCACAACTTTATCTATGGAAGAAAATTTTCACTCATCTAATCTTTCTAGACATGATTTTGCAGATATGTTTTTTTTTCTCTGTCCCCTGTGTCTTTCAAATCTTTCCATGCTTTACTACATAAAATCCATACTCAAGTTTACTTTGTCTTCCCTCTTTTGCCCGATATTAGGGTTCCTGTGGACTCATTTCTTGAACAATTGCACACCTGTACTAACATGCCTTGTCCTCCTCATATACTTGACCCTTTTATCTTAGCTTACTAGTTTACAGCCTCTCTATACTTCTATTCTTTGATTACCAGTTTTTACCTGCTTGTAGGGTGGACTTTTTAACTTTTATCTCCTTTTTTTTTAGTGCTCAATTTCCCCCATTTGTCTCTTTCTTACCACCCTCCTGCATTACCTCTTGTTACTTCACCTTATTTCTGAGGCACATCATTGCTTGCTGGATAGGTGCATTCTCTTCTTTTCATCACATACTTCTTCTTTTGCTTTATCCCTCCTTACTTGGTTTCTCTGTTGTTGAGACTTGTTGTATTTCTTTGATCTTCATCGGATTCCTTTGCTTCACCCAAAAGTCTTCTGTGGTGTTCCGGACTCATTGGAGACCCAGGCCAAGGCAGCCCAGTATCAGTCCTCATTGTCTACTTTGATTACTTGTCTTTTTCAATCTTGTTCTTCTGTTTCCCATTCTAGTATCCTGGCCTTCTCCTTCTTCCAGTCCTCCTGCATCACAACATCAAAGTCATCAATTATCTTATCGGTGACTACCTATCAAATCTGACCTTGTGGTAGCCCATCTGTCTCACTTTGCCAGCCTTTGGTCTTCATTTTCAGCCAACAGATGGGTTCTTCAGGTTTTCACCCATTGCCTATCTCTCCATTTCTCTTCTCCTCCTCCCATTTTCCCCTTTACTGGTCCACTGTCTGTGTAATGTAGGTGACCACTCAAACAGCTAGTGTGTACTTCTTCTGCTGTAGGACTGGTCCATCATCCCAGTCTCTGTCTGTCGAGTTGAGTAGAGGTCAGACATGTACTATATGATCTAACCACACCCTAGTCACACTACACTTCTTAGCTCACCAACTGCTTGTGTGATAGTGCTTGGCTAATCTTGCAAAAATTACACCAAGGCCTTGTGACACTTGGGGCTCTTTTACATTTCCTTCCAGGCAGAGAGTATATCCTGGTCAAGGTGGGATAGAGTCTTCACCAGGTATGCTCTTATGGAGCCCTTGCTATCAAGTGTCAGAAAACATACAAAGGAAGCTCATCCAGGTTTAATGTTTGCACCGGCCTTTCCACCATTTCATTGTGTGATTTTAGCTATTTTATGTGTGGAGGTGAGGTATCGACTCAGAAATTAACATTTTCTTTACTTGAAAATGTATTTCCAATAGATACTCACCTCTTCACACCTAGTCACAATATACAGTGTGATGATTTAATATCACATAAGTTCCTAATGTTAATAAGCCTGTCTTTGCAACCGGGTAAGGTATGAAACTGCTTTGGGTGGCAGAATTAAGAAAAGTTTTATAATTAATTTTACTTTCAATAGAATCAAGTATCTACATGCTCAACTTTACATCCTTTGTCTTCTATTACTGATCTGGAAATTATGTCCATAAACACAAATACTCTAAGATAACAACTTAAGTATAAAAAATAGCTTTTACTAAATTAAAGAAATTAGATCATAAAGAAGTACTTCAATCCTCTGCAGCTAATATCAAGTAAAATCAAGTTCTTCTAAACCTAAATAGCTCAAAGTAAAACACAGATAGGCCTCCTAAAGTGAAAGTTTACTAGAAATTGTAACTTATTGTTCATGTAATGCTATGTATGCGCTTATTATCATAATAGTGTAAGAGTTTTGCTTGATAGGGCAATTTAAAGTTTTACTTAAAGTAGGAATATAGCTAAAGCTAACCCTCACATGTGATATTCATGTTTGTTAAAAACAGGTAGTATTCCTGATCAAATGACAAGGCTGTGTTTTGTAATAGTTTTATTATTATGTCTCAAATAAGCAATGCATTTTTCAGTTTTATTCCTTTTACTTAAGGTAAGTGAGTGAAGTTTGAAGCATTTGAACTGAACTCAATTTCTGAGAACCCAGTATACTATATATGTAATATACAAATATATATGTATATAAAAACGTATACATACACATAAAAATGCTAAATTAAAGGAGTTTATATTTTAGATCAGATGAATTTTTGAAATACTATGATTTTATATTTGACGAAATTTCAGTATTGTTTATGAGCAATAAGTTTCAGAAGATTTTTTTTAAATATATTTTTTATGAATTTCCTTATTTTTATAGAAGGAAAAAAACTTGGAGGACAGAAATATTTTATACCACGTATTTATTTGATATTCAGTGCTGAGGATCCTTTCAAGTTTGTGAAACGTGTAGTAAGTGCATTAAAATACAGGTCTCAAACTGAAGCTTTGCTCCTTTTGCATCTATATGCAGACTGCATGCCCAGAGAAGGTCTTCCAACATTAGAAGAATCAGTAAAATCCAGCATTTGGAAGAGAACTGGTTTCACACAGTATCAAAAACCAGAAAGAAAGTAATGAAAATAGAATTTTAAAATGATAAAGTAATGTAATTGACTAATCACATAGCATTTTTTTTTAAGAAAAAATTTATTCTTGCCATTAATGTAGCTATGCATGTTGTGGAGATTTAGTGAATCTTTCACAGTTTACTTTGGTATTCTAGTAACCTATAGATATGTTTCTTATAAAGCATTGTGTGCATATTCTAAGAATCTAGAATATGTTTTTATAATCTATTCATCAGAATTACTATTTACATTTTTTGTAACCAAACAATCTTGTAGTATTCAATGTAATCTCAATAAACTTTGTGGATGTAACCTTTGAGTATTAAATGGGTATATGTATAAGGAAATCTTTCACTATAATTAAGTTACCTGAGTTGAAGATTTCATCAACTCCACTTTATAACTTGTAGACATATACATATTATGAAAGTAACTTGTTTCTTTATTTCATCAAAGTTACTGTTTGCAAATGCAGAAATTTTGAAATAGGTGTGTCACTATTTTATGCATTAGTTTCCCTATAAATTTCATTGAAATTTTACCATACTTTTTTACAATTTGTTTTGAGTAGTAAACAATTGTATAAATCAAAATGAATTACTTCTGAACTTAAGCCTTTGAATAAGCATGTGGCTGTTTAGGTTATCACTCTTTTCTGCAAATTTTTAATACTGTTAAGTTTTTCAGTAACCTACATAAACAGTGGATGTGAGGATGAAGGTTATGGTGGTTAATGATGTATGCATGTTTTTGTTCTTATTTATATCACTTTATGCAGCTTGAAGGGATAGTAACAAAACATGTTAAAATTATATTCTCTTTTGGGTCCCAGGTGTGTATAATATCTTAGGTAACTATCAAAAATGAAAGCAATATAAGAGCTCAAGCTGTGGTTTTAACTAATTTTTTAAACATTATTGAGTTATAAGATTTGAACTTGAGTTGCATACTGAAATGTCAGTAGTAAGATTTAAACAGATACACCTTTATCTATAGGAGTTTCTCTAATTATTGCTAAAGCCAATAAGAGGATAAAGAATGTGCAAGAGTTTAAGTCAGCATATCGTAAATCATAAATGTTATAAATTAGAGAAAACTGATGGTACTCCAAAATTAATCTTTCAGAATAGCTCAAAATTTGAATATAGAAATATTCAATATTTTGAGTTTTATTTACGTTTAGATTTTTCAGTGAAAATTTAAGCACTACATATGTCAATTTTAAGTTTACAAATCTGAAATAAAAACAATTTGATTACTTAGGAGTTAGTTGATAACCTTTTGAAAAGCTGATTATACTTACTAAGACTTAAAATATTGTAGACACTCTAGGTTTAAAATATTTTTCATAATATTCTGAATATTTTATTAAAAATTTGCTGATGTTAGTAATGAGTGATTTGTTCATATAAATTGTTTCTTTGAAGATTGTATTTTTACATATTTCATTCACTCTCATTAATAGTTTAAATTTAGTTCTTCACAAACTGGTGGAAATTATGAAGGGCTGATAGTTAATTAGTCAGGAAAGTGTCAAAGTTTTTCACAATGTACAATTTTACCTTCTAATAACATTTCCGATTATTTTAGTCAGGCATGAAAATTCTAAAACTTTAAACTAATTTGTTGTAAGATTGTAATTTTATTATAATGATTTAATTGCACTGTATTTGACATTAAAACAATACATGAGCAAGTTTCTAAAGAACAAAACAGATTTTACATTACAATGTTACATTTAAAATAAGCTAGAATGAGATATAGAAATTTTATATTTTTATACTGTAGCTTACAAGGGTGCATAGATGCTGTTAACAATGAAATGCTTCTGGAATATCATCGAGCTCTTAACAGCATGACTCTGACCACTTTTATAACAAAATACCCAAGTCTATTTCCACATGTTATTCTTCCAGATAAAAGTTCTTTTGAGCCTTCAAAAGGTAAGTATTTAATTGATTAAATGATATAATTGCTGGTGATTTGAAGACAATTGTAAGAATTCAATATGAATATTTATTTGCACAAGTTATAATCCCCTAATTTTTATGCCCCATCATTTTGGGTTGACTTTATCTGTGAAATTAGACCAAACTTCTCATATTCTTCATATGAGAAATTTTGCAAAAATAGAATGGAAGATAAGCTGGTGTTTTGATGTAAATGAAGAAATAAATACTGTTTTCACGTGTAGTATTTGCCAAACATTACTGCCATTACTTGTATGGTAGGAATTTCACCTTTCGAGTGGACAGTGTATCAATGATGACATGGCTAATAAACTTCAAAAATCTGGAAGATACAATTGTGTAATAGTACATCCTTGTTATACAACATTGCTTGGGTTATGAACCCAAAATATGCTGATAGATTACCTTGCCAGCCTATGAAAGCATTTTTGTTTGTTGAATGTTCAGATCCTAAACACCATGCAACAGTTAAAGCCATTGCAGAAGTAGAGACAATTAATCACATGAGTAACAGCTATTCTTCATTTTGATGGATACCATGGATGACCATTCAGGAACTCTAGGAAGAGCAACTGAAGAACCTAGACCTAGCTTTGGTATTACTTGCTGGTCAGCAAGGTAGTACATGTCCATCACAAACTGGTAAATGTAAACTGGCATGCACAACATTTGTCACTTATTTAGTCACTTATGAGTGAAGGATGGCATGCTGTACCATTGTTGTGAACCACTGAGATGTGATAGCTGATCTGTAATTAGTTAGTGATTTCCAGAGCTTTAAGTTGTGAAATATTTCAGATTTTGCATAATTCAAGGACTGGATGGCACCAGGGAGCATCACATATTATTTGCAAACATTGATCAATAGTGTAGACCTTATATAAACTGAGCTGCCCAGAAGAAGAACTAGATGCACCAGGAAAAACTACACAAAAGTTGTGGGTTCTCTTCCCAAGAGAATTACTCTGGATATAGCTCACCATCTTCCCAAAACTGAGGGAGGTAACTGGTATGTGCTGGCTGTTATAGATTACCAATAGGGCTGTTTCTGTTGACTGACATATTAGTGCAGTCCATTTTCTCGGTGTTGATCAAAAAATTCAATATCATACTTTTCCATGTCTATCAAAATCCACATCAATTAAGGATTTACTTAAACAGCCAGCTCTTTGCAGATTTGTATGTCTTAGATATGGTGAAAGTGTACAATTCACCATTTCATTCTCAGTTTGGTGGTTTGGCTAAGTGGACAGTACAGACTGTCAAGCATATGCTTGCTAAGTTTGTTAACTCTTCCTGCCCAAAATGATTGGGTTGAGCATCTACTGCATGTCATGATAGTGTACCATGTATTTAAGCAACAACTGACTGGTGTTGTCCAAAGCTCCTGATGTTTAGATGAGTAATACAGGAAATTGGTAAACTGGCTGTATGTTAAAAGAAATGAAGTTTGCATTTGATGGCTGGATATGGTTGTGGTACAAGCCTGGAAGAAGGAAACAACTCATTTTTGTCTGGACTTACTTGTATCTTGTCTTCTGACAGCTCAATAAGATGAAGTAGGGGTCATATATGTTGTCTGGCATGCACATTTACATGTTAATTCATTCTGATAAAAAAATTTTTTTTTAGTATTTCTTTCTTTTCAGTTTGCCTTTTTCCATTTAACTAGATTTAGAAAAAATGTTTTACCTGATGGAGTTAGTATCCTATTCAAGATGCATTATCTTCATTCATAGCAAAGTATACTAGAATTCAGAAATTGTTTGTCACCTGGCATGCATATATACATCAAACTCCTCAGCGACTGTAAACTCTACACCACTGGATGAGCAGGTTGACTATGATGATAAGAGCACTTTATATACAATGTTGTCTCAGCTGATGAGATGTTTGTGAAAATTCAGATGAGGGAAGCTAGTGGAGGAACAGTTTTGTCTGCTCTGATGATTGGCAGAGACAGCATTGATGACCTCCTAATTATAATGGCTTGAACAGCAGTTAGGATTGCAGCTTAGTCAGTAGAATTGCTGCTTAAAGGGAATTGCAACCCTAACTTTCTGAGCTATCAAATGATGTTACATGCAGTACATCTTATGATAGCCATTTGATTATTGTATGGTTAGAACAGTTGTTAGTTGAAAAATCAACATTTTAGAAGGTTTCCAACCCTTACTTATCAAGCAATCCAGCAATATTTTGTAGTGAGACATTGGTTTCTTATCATACAATAATCTGATCTGATCTGTCTACACAACTAAAACTGATTAAGTTATTAGACAAGGTCCTCGGGAAATTGATGGATGATTTTGACTGCTGAAGTTCACTGGAAACTCTGATGAACCAATATGGTGAAAGGACTTTGCAATTCCTGCTTCCAAGTACTCAGGTTAAGTTATGTGGCAGATGTTGTCAGACATTTGTTGTATAAACTTTCTGAGCAAACTCATAATTTTACATGTGAGTTGGCACAACTTTTTGTTGTGCTTGTATGGAAGATTCTGCTTTCACGATAGCCTGGTTGGTATATACCAGTCTTCCTGAAGGGCATTAAAGGATTTGTGCTCTAAAATAGCATGAGAAATTGATACAGACTGTATAATCAGGCAAAATGTGTATGTTGTTGCTAGATTTTTGTTTTAATTATTTTTGTATATATCTGGTGTAGATTTTTCAACACTTCTATATGGCAGGAATACTGGGACAAACATGGTGATTTAGGCTGATTGCTACTTAACTTATGTTATAATGGCACAAGTTATTTCTTGTGAACTTACTATGTTGGAGTGTGTGTATATGCATATATTTTTGCATTTGAAGTCAAGAAATGTGAATATTAATAACAGAATATAACATTTCTGCCTATTTCTGATTGTGATTACATTTATTTTTGAGATCACTTGAGTTGAAGTACGTTTAACCATTTAGATGGCTTCTGGGGCCCAACATGTGGAGAGTGCACAACTGTCAGTGACATCAGTTGCCATGGAAACCAGACTAGCTGCTGAACAGTGAAGTTGTATTGTACGTGTACATAGGTTAATATTTTATGATGAATATGTATGGGTAACAGAATAGGCATGCTTTCTTTTTTCATTTGAATCATTTTATGTATATCTATTTATGCACATGAATGTGACGAGTACAACTTTTGAGGCTAATAAATAATTTGGTTTTAAATATTGAGATTTAATATGTTCAATACAAGCCGCATGCGATTAGCTTAGACTGTACTAAGAAATAAACATGGCATGTTCTCTGTTTTCTTATTATGGATAAAAATTAGGTCGCAAACTGAAATATTTGTAAGCATGTGATTTCTCACTGAAAAAAGATACAAAGTACACCACACTAGGTGAAAAACATGATAAACCCATCATTTTCATTGAAACTTGATGAATAAGTATCATGCAGTTGTGGCAACTAAGATGTTTGTACATTATGTGACTCAGTTTTTATGAAGTGAAATCACAATTTGTTTGTTCAGAATAAAAAAAAAAACAAGCAATACCTACTAATATTTTTAATTTATAAAGATATAAATAGGAAAAAAATAAGATTTTGATGGAAAGTAGGGATTGTTGGTTATTTATAGAATTGCTATAAGAAGTATCCAAAACAAAATAAATGCTGTAATAAAAAGTACACAAACAAGTAAAGTGATACTAGTTGGATATATTTTAAAATGATTTTCAATCCCTAATTTGGTTGGCAAATTTAGACTGCTTCATTTAGCTATATGATTGCTTTACTTGTTTGTGTACTTTTTATTACAGTGTTATGATTTTTTTGTGTACTATAAAAATGTAATTATGGATATATTTGTAGGGTCAAATGTGATTATACTTGTATCAGAGAGAAGGTTTGGGTTGTGAATAGATAGGTTAAGGAACGTTTAAAGTAGGAAGCTTTGTTCACTGCTTGTAAATTAATTCATCTAATTTCAGTTTCTGATGTAAGGAACTTGTTGCCGTCCTCTCCCTTTCCTCATTTGACTTGTATTCTATCTCTGTGACAACCAAAGAATAGTGGAATAACTCATATATATGTGAGATAGCTGAATTTGCTGGAAGGTGACTGTTTCCATGGGCTGGCACTGTCAGGAGTCTGACTTAAGTAGCTGCATGTGCAGTGTTCCATATGAAGCTATGTATTGCACATGAGTTACCATTTAACACAAATGTGTTTAGCTATCACAGTGATGAGTGCATTTGCCATGAATAATGTAAGGCTACATTCACATCCAGGTGACTTTTTCCAAGAAAGGGGTGGGTTGTGTCCTGATTGGTCGATTTCCAAAATGTTGGGCTGAAGTCTGTTGAGAAGTTTACCATGGTCTTTTCTTACATGCAATACATTTTCAGGCAGTTCATAAGATTCAACACTTCATTAACTAGTCAAGATTGAAAGTTCAAAATCAACTCAACCTGTGAGATGTTAAAAGTTAAAATAGAAATGTAAGGCTAAATATATTTCGCCAGCATGAAGTAATATTATAGGAAATATGTTGTTTTGGTAGCCACCATATCAAATATTAATGAAATAGTGCTTACTGTTGTTGATATGTGTGATGGCAAGCTAGGATCCTGAAAGTAATATCGTCAAACCTACTAAGGCTGCATTTACTAGGAGATCAGTTCTGAATACATTTTACATCTTAAATTCCATGTTAACTGTGTTCTTTTTATTATTATTATGTTTTTGTACTTTGAACTTATTTGTATTTTCTATTGCATTAGATTATTTTGTGTTTTGAGTTTTAATTGATTGTGTTCAAATTTGGTTTTGTATGCTTTTAATTTTGTTTTATTCATTGTAGCATTTTTGAATCGTGTTTTGTATTTTGTAAATTTTCTGTATAGTGTATTTATAATGCATTTCATGATGGTTTAATATTTGGTTTGCTTATTTCGATTTTGTATGTTTCTAATTCAGTATTTTAATTTTGGTTTATTATAATTTTATCTTATTTTGTTGTATTTAAATTTTCATTCTTAAGTTGTATTTATTTCATTCTCTTTTGTTTTTACGAGATGCTATTTTGTTGTTTCTGTTTGTTGTCTTCATGTAGGTGTCACAACATTTTGTATGTCACCCAAGAAAAATGATAACTACCAACACCTTAAAACCTATATTAATCAGTTTGGCCATTATATTTAAAGTCTGGGAAGACCCTGAGATAAGGATCTTATATTTGATATATCTAATTAATTCACCTTTTCATAATAGTTTAAAATATATATCTTTATAATGCCTCCACTGGTCTGTATGTTCTATTCTTGTAGACAGGATATCTCAAGATTGGATGGATGAATTTAGATGAAACTTATGTAACAGACTCTATATACAAAGTTCTAGATCTGGTTAACTTTTGAAGGTCAAGGTTAATATGACATAGGTGTTTCACAAACACAAGTTGCACTTGTTCAGGTATATTAAGGTAATTTCTCTAAATTTCCATGCAGTTATGAGATTTTTGTAAACTGGTTATTGAAAGGTTTTAAACAAATACTAACATTTTTATACAAACAAGGATAAGATGCAGCAGTAGAAGCTTGTATGAAGTTGGTTGTGTGTCTTTGTCCACACCCTGGGATGGGATAAGTTCATCTCAAGGGGATAGTATTCCATAATCCATGGGTTACCTAAGTTATTGACTATTCCAAAGAAAAATTCAAGTGGAGTGAGCCCCAACTCATACCAATTTTTTACAAGTATTTGTACTTTTACAAGTATCAAGTTTGACCCTTTATCTGACCTGAAAGTGTGGTACAACATAATTCTTTCTGTTTTTGGCTTGTGCAGACATTTCAAAAGCCCCTCCAGCCTTAGCAGCCAGTTTGAGTAAAACCAATTAGAAGTCAATCAGTTTTGTGACTACATAAACCTTATTGTGAATAAAACTTTGATTATTTGTTCACTTATGTTTACTTGTTTTATCTTGGTTTTGGTATTCAGTTTATTCTTTACATAATATTTCCTGAATCTTCATTTTTACAGACATTTTTTGCTACCTGTGAGACATTAGGTACCTAAATACCATTCTAGTAGGTGTTTCTACAAATATCATAGTTAATTATCATTAACTCTACTCTTATGTGTATTGCATTGTGTTTTAATATATTTTGTAATTCATATGAATTAATATAACATAGCTCTACCTAATTTGACAAAAAAAAATTTGTTCTCATGTTTTTTTTAATTTTCAAAAACCAAATAAAGTTTTATCACTTAGGTATAAACTTTAATGTTTGAATTTTCATGTATAACTGTGTGTTGTTTGATTTTAATTTTTTTCAGAATATCCATTCATTAATAATTTTTCTCTTCACAATAAATGGAAATCATTCAAATTTCATAGTATCCTTACAAAACCAGAAGTTATAATTGCTCTTAGTGAGCTTAGAAAAGAATGTCAAAATGTAGCATCTTTGCATCTGTATCACACGTTAATAGTGAAGCCTGTGAAAGCTGAAGAAATGGAAAAAATTCAGGATCATGTGATACAGCAAGTAAGAAATATTATTTTAATGTCTGTGGTTAAAAGCTCACTCATAAACTCTCTATCAGTTTTTATGATATAGATTCTTTCAGTTAAAGAAGATGATGCCTAACATACTAGCAAAGAGAAGAGAAAACTTTTCCATCATTTTCATTTGAACTAATTGTCAAATTTTTTTATTTGCCAAGAATATATAATAATACTAATCTACCATAGTTTCAGAAGCATTAATTGATGAAAAATATGATTTATGAGATAGTTGATTTTGTGTTTTCCTTATTTATTTCTAACATATTCTAACTGTATTTTAAACTTTCATGACCGATGCCTCATAAAATTTTTATTTTTATAGTATATTGTGTTTTTTCTTTACCTTTTCATTTATCTCATGAAGCATACAGTAATTTTCTGAATACGCATTTCTTCACTCTTTAAATTATTTTCTGTAAGCAGTTTATAAAATTCTCCTTAGGTGCATATGTATCTACATGACAGTTGGTTAACAAATATAAGGATATCTATTCGAACTAGTTTTCGACATGCTGGCAAAGGACATTTTAATTTGTATGAAACCAATTGGTATGTATACCAACAGTCCAAAATGAAGAAATTTATGAGTGTTGTCAACTTTATGATGCAGGTAAACAAATAAATGAACTTGTGTTTTTAATATTTGCAAAATTCTATAGATCTTACAAATTAGAATCTTTAAAATATTATTTACTTGAAGACAAACAAATGATATTATGCTTGTTCTTTTTGAGAGGTTTATTATGGACTTATTGATGTAATGTAGTTCTGTGTATTCATCACAAAGATTTGAAATTGTTTAGATATATTTTTGTAATGATTTTCGAGTACAGTATAACAGTTGTAATGCATTTTTGATAAGCATAGTATATCATAAATATAATTATAGATAAAAAGTGAGTAAAAGTAAAACTTAAAGAAAAAAGTTCTATGATATGTTAGAAGTAACATAGTATTTGTGCCATTATAGTTACATTAGATGAGGTTCATAATTGTTTTCTATTTATTTGTAGGATGCAGTACGCTACTTAGTAGAGTACTCTTTGGAAGCTTTTACCCATATGGTTAAAGAATCCTGCCAGCCAATAATGAACATTCCAAAGAATTTTCAATGGAACTTACCACTGAACACCAATAAATTCTGGTAAGGTTATGGGCATTTGATTTAGTTAAATTTAATATCATTAGATGAATAAATGCCAAGTGGAGTTTTTGAGTTAAATGGCATGTATACTTATGACTTGAGTGTTTTGACCAACATACCTAATGGAATTAAAATTTAGTTCACAGAATACATTCTTCAATCAATGTTCTATTTGTAGTCTTAAACCATTCCAGGTGTGGTTCTGTATTGACTTTTAAAGACTTAAGAATGAAGGTCTCATTATCTAGATTTTACCTGTGTAAAAGGCTTAGTACATGTTTGTGACCTTGAGACATTCAGTCAATGAGAAAGTATATAACAGGTTAGAAAAAACATTACATGAATATATGTGATCAAAGATATGTTCTATAACAGTTATGGAAGAGTAAAATCCTTGATTATTTAAATCGTTACAACCACTCCCTTCCTTATCTGAAAGATTGTCTTGCCCTAAATTTTTAAATTAAAATCAAGGGCCATCTTACAAAATTACTTGTAGGTTCCAAAATGTAATGATTAATTTCTTCAGATGACATGCATGATGATACAACACCTAAACAAAGACAAGAAAAGTTAACACATAATTCCATCAACCAGTTAACAAAGCTAAAACCAACTCAATATAGTAATAATAATAAATATAAAAAACAATAAATTTAAAAATCAAAATACAAAATTTCAAATGCAAAATTAAAACTCAGAATACATTAAATCCAAATTACAATACAGAATTGAAAGTAAACCAACTCAAAATGAAATCATAGAATAAAATACAATAGTTTTAAATAGAAAAGAATTATCAGCACCAGCCACTTACTACAAAATAAAACACATTAGAATACTAAAAAACAAAATCTAAGCCTAGGAAGATTTTTTTAAACAAATTGCAATCAAAATTCGAAATAAAATTAAAATAATCTCAAAATACAAAATAATAGTAGTGATATAGCACAGGTTACATCTAAGTGAAGGATATTTACAATATATACAATTTCTGACTGCTGGTGAGGTGTTTTTTCTGGGATATAGTGAAGTCCGTTGTAACCATGGCAGATTTATATCATCAATAATAGGTGAGTCAGACACCTGAAAGATGTTACTTTGCATAAGTAATATATTTTTGACACACTGTGGGTCTGATGGGTGGTTCATCATGGTCCTCTAATGAGTGTAGTATATTGTCAGCCAATTCACAGTATTGGGCTCTCAGGTTTTTAAACTACTAGCTAATTCAACCTTGGCAGGTCAGAAGTTCAATCAGCAGTGTAAGGTTAAGATGTCACAACCAATTAGATCATGACCTGAATCTTTTAATGAAAAGGAGATGTAGCACTTGTGCCACACCTGGAATCATTTGTAGTGAATGGAAGTACCACTATGACTTCAGGTCATGCTTGTTGAACACACTGGTGAATGTACAATCCATCTATCTTCTTATGGAACAATAAAGGGGCCACCATATATTGCAATTTATGTGGTGTAGGTTCTCTATTAACTGTGAGTTTTTCCTTATTTAAAAAACTCATGCTCTTGAATATTTCAGTTTGAGACCAAGCCTGAAATATACTATCCCTGCATTACGAATTACAGACCACACCGTGTAGTTATCTCTATACAGTTCAAGCCAATCACTGTAGTTTTGTAGCAAATGTATCCCATCTCAATATTTCAAGCCAAAATTTCTTATTTGCTTGAATAAACTCTGCTCTTATGTATATTATATTTGTATATGTAACACATATGCAAGCAGGTTTAATATAGTAGTGAAAAACACATAGATTCCACACACACACTTCTATTTCTGCATCATATAATAACCAACACATAATTTGTAGTACATGATGTCAATGCTAAATGGCTCTATGGTTTCTATAAGAACTGACTAGTACCAGTCTCTTTCTCAGTCTGCATTTTTGAAAAGTATGCTACAGTGAGATACCATCCATAGAATTAGGATTACCCCAACTCTAGTGATGCCACAAAAATAATTAGAGATGGAAACAAGTAAAGATATAGTATTCTGCCATAGATATCTATCCAGTTCACATTTTGTATCATCAAACACAAAATACATGTATAAACACACAGTCCAATGTGGCATAGAGCAAACAAAAGAGATACAGTAGGTTTCCATATAGTAGTAGAATGCAAACAATTTGTAGGGTTTGAAGTAAAGGACTTTACATCAGATCTTACAAATCACTGTCTAACTCATCAATCAGTTTATGGTGAGAATGATCTACTGTGCTTTTTTGTTGTTGTATTAAACAGGCCTGTGTTGGTTTTATCGTCTTGAAATTTTTTACATGTCCTACAGTAATTCCTGTACATTAAATCCAAAAATGATATCCATTTTTCTTCAACTTCAACATGTGCAGATTTTTCACAAAATGTCATAATTACTTTTACATAAGTGAATCATTTTCATTGAAATTGGGTCACATTTTGTTATGCTTAAAATGTTGACAACCACTGGCTACAGATTTCGATATACCAATTGAGATGTGAGTGTCTTATCAATCATTTTAGAACCCACGAGAAACAGACTGCTAGTATATAAATGGTGAACAGGCCACATGATGTGTCATTTCTGGAAAGTATTTGTTTGTGCGTGCACTTTGACATTTTTTTTTCAATATTATTTATTCATTGCTATGGCAACAAGAGGTTGTATAAATGACCCAAACATATTCTGCTATATTTGTGGTAAATTTGTTGTAAAGAAACAAAGGCAAAAAAAAACATATTAGATGTATTTTGGAATAAAACTTGGGGACTGAGACAAATCATGGGTTCTGCACAAAGTTTGCACTGTTTATGTCAAAGAGTTGAGACAATGGACTAAAGGTCAGAAAAAGTCTTTGCCTTTTGGAATTCCAATGGTCTGGTGTAAGCCTAGAAACCGTGGAAATGATTGCTATTTTTGCTCATGTAAAGTACAAGAAATAAAAAGGAAATTTCTTATCCGAACCTTCAATCTGCTATAACGTCTGTTGCTCATAGACTTGATGTACCTGTAACTACTCCCCAAGACTCTTGATACAGTTTCTTCTGATTCTGAATCTAATGTCAATAGAAATGATGATAGGGATTGTTTTCAACCTGAAACAACTGGTGAACCAAACATTTTCACACAAGGTAAACTTAATGATTTGGTGAGAGATTTGGGCCTTCCAAGGATTCTTTCAGAGATTTTGGGGTTTAGACTAAGGGCTAAGAACTTACTTTCTCCAGGGACATCATTTTACTGGTACAGAAATTGTGAGAATGAGTTTATACCATGCTTTTTGCAAAAAGGTTCACTGATTTATTGCAACAATATTGCTGAATTAATACCAGTGCTTGTCTGTGAACCAATTGAGTGGCGACTGTTCATTGATTCCTCCAAAAGAAGTTTAAAAGGTGTTCTCCTTCACAATGGTAACATATATTCATCTGTTCCTGTTGCTCATTTGGTTCACTTAAAGGAAACGTACAAAATTCTTGAAGTAATACTTCCTATTCAAACTAAGTATTGTTACGATTAGTTGAACGGTGTGTTTCATGTGATATATATATATATATACATATATGTGTGTTTCATGTGATATATATATATACATATATGTGTTTCATGTGATACACACATATATATATATATGTTTCATGTGATTTATATACACATATATACATATGTTTCATATGATTTATATATATATATATATATTATGATTGCATATAGTGTGGAATCAGTACACATAATGTTATTTTTCAACAGTATAAAGTATTTAAACACGTTGAGAGTCGCTTTGGAAGACCGACTGTGAAAAAACTTAAATAGTTCCATGATCGATCACCCGTACAATTAGCCGTAGCGCGCATGTAATTTAATTGGGCGGAGTTTGCTGCTAGTGCATGTATAATACTTATATTTTACGAAGTCGGTAATTAGCGCAGAGGAAAATTTGAAAATGGGTCACTTTCAGTTTTTCAGCCAGGTACCTAGCCATCTTGATCGTTAGCTACCTAACGCGGAACTGGCGAGTTAGACACGCGGAATGTAATGCACGTGAAGGCCGCCTATGATGACGTCTAACTGGAGCTGGTGGTTCGTGAGTCGACTTCTACCCACCAACAGTGGTACTTCCTGGCGCCGGATAGGCCAACTGCCAGACTGGTAATTTACTATCAGAAATGCCTGCAGAATGTCAAACACAAGCTTGCTTGTCGACGGCTCTTTGCAGCCGCTGCGTCGTTGATCGGTTGATCTGTAATTTTCACGCCGTCTAGTATTAATATGTCAAAGCACGTGAGTCTTTGATTTCCTTCAAAGTGCCGCCTTGTCAAAAACGCAACAAAGTGCTAGCATGCCGAACGTTTTTTTACAACAGTCTGAGAACCTGAAATCGACTTAATTATCCTCTTTCGCAGCTTTTGTTTATCTTTACGCGATCCGATATTAACAACACAACATCAAAATTTATAGCGTGTTCTCTGGCTTGCTAAACACGGGTGCCATAAACGTTTAATCTCAGACTGACAATCTGTTAGCGCTGATGTATGATGTGTCAATATGTATTTCTACCTGTAACCAGACGCATAAAAAGTTAATAAAAGACAAGCTAGTACACGGCAGACAGTATTCTGAAAACTGGTTAAGGTCTTCAAGGGTGACTGTACGTTTCAGGTTCACGCTGATGTAACTGTAACTTACTCATTTCTTGGAAAGGTAAACCCGTTCCAAAAATTTGCTCTATTATTGTTTCAAAAATGTTTTTGTTTTGTTTTTTGCAAACTTATGAGGTGCAATAACACTAAGCAGTTATACGTCCACATATTTAATTATGAGTGTGCTAAATGTTTTTCAGGACAATGTATTTTATTGTATATTTTTAGTTTAATTTTTTTCCAGAATTTTACGTTGATGAGTCATTAAGGTAAAGAGGTCAAAGACCGCGGTTTCTAATTTTTATATCTTTAATGTTAATGTCACGTAGCGCATACCTTTCCAACTTCGCTGG